TTTTTTTTTTTTTTGACACTTTGTTCCTGTTATTTATCTTTCACCTTTTTGAAAAAAGGAGAGTCCTTACCTTTACCCCCCTAATTACTTATCATTAGCAATATAAATCCCTAGAAACTCTTTAACTGTTGTTAGAACCTTGATTTCTGTGACATTTGGGGTTTGGATTTATTACAGAACAGATCGAGTAATTATAGAAAATGTGAGATATAGTATAGCAAGTGGCTAGATTTAATACAATTCATGGAGCTTACATGGTATTGATTCTAATAAAAGGAGATGAGAGAAACTATTTGGGAAATGCAGTAACATTTTGTTTATCTTGGATAAAGGCATATCAGGATGTCAAACTGTCATTTGTTGGAGATCACTTAGTGTAGAAGAACCCTGGATTTGGAGTCAGAAACCTAAAGCTAAATCCTGGTTTCATTATTTAATTATTTGTGTGACTTCAGGTGCAGGCTTTAATCATCCCAAGCTTGTTTCCTAATTTGTAGAATAGGGTTCTGTTATCTCCCCTGTACAGAGAAACAGTGAGAAACTGTGCAGTGTTAGATATGTGTGCAGAACATGAAAGGATCTGGTATTGAATTCCCCCCGTAGGAGAATCGAGGATATTTGTTATTGTAGCACTTGAGGCATTTTCCATCTAACTCAGGAAAACTATGTAAAGACCTATCTGGTATAAAAAAAATCATTGATGCAGTAATGGGCAGTCATAGCCAATCTTGTACCACATTATTCAACAACGGTTTGTCTCTCTTGGGATATATCTGTGGAAAAAATAAGACAAAAATCCCCACTTGCTTGGAGCTTACATTCTAGTTGGGGGGAGGATGACGATAAATATTAAAAATAAGTGGTATGGATAAAAGGAGGGTTGGAGATTATTGAGCTTGGGAGCAAATTGGGAACATTAAAAGCTCAGGTAGGCCTATTAAGAAGGTAATATTTGAACAAAGATTTGTAGGCAATGAGATAGCTGTGCAGATATAGGGCGGTGGAGTTTTTAGGTAGCAGTACACCTGCAGACAGAGTGGCAAGGAGTCCTTTGTGGCTGGAGCAGGGAGAGAAAGGAAGAGACATAGGAGATGAAGTCAGAGGGGGAGGGCATCAGTTAGAGCCTTGTTGACCTTAGTAAGAACTTTGGCTTTCACAGTAAAGGAGTCCTTGGAGACTTCTGAATGGAGGAGGAAAATAACCTGATAAAATTTTTTGCTTATAGTTATAAGTGCTAATAATACTGTATAATATATTTTTTCTTTTTTGAAATACAAATAAAGTACATAGTAGATAGTGTTTCTGCAGATTAAATGGTAACTACCAGCTGGGCATAGTGGTTCATGCCTGTAATCTTAGCACTTTGGGAGGCCAACGTGGGAGGATTTCTTGAGACCAGCCTGAACAAGAGCGAGACCCTGTCTCTATAAAAAATAGAAAAATTAGCCAGGTATGGTGGCATGCACCTGTTGTCCCAGCATCCTAGGGATGCTACGGTCTGAGCATCACTTGAGCTCAGGAGTTTGAAGTTGCAGTCAGCAGTGATGATGCTGTTGTACTTCAGCCCAGACAACAGAGTGAGACCCTGTCCAAAAAAAAAAAATGTACCTACAGATTTTGTTTTCTTCTATTAAATTTAAGGTCAGCTTCACCTTACCATGGTTTTACCATTGTAAATCGTCTGAATATGCACAATCTAGTTGAACCAGTGAATAAAGATTTGGAATTTCAGCTCCATGAACCATTTCTTCTGTATAGAAATGCAAGCTGTGAGTATATGTTTTATTATACTTAATATGTTTACATTTAAATTGAATCACTTTACTTTCTATCAGTACATTATTCTTGCAGTTTCAAATTGCAACACAGAATATGATCAATACTCTCTTTTATGACAGTAAATAATTTTCTTGGATCAAACCTTTTAATCAGGGCTCAAAAATTGGAAACAACTCTTTTATATATATAATAATTTATGTTTATAAATGTATGTTATATTAACATAAATTATTAATGGTATTTCATTTAATAGCATTATATTTCTGTTGTTTGTTTATGAAGTAAGTTTTACTTGCTTGTTTTTATTGTAGCTCTGGAGTATTGGCTGTTTCTGTCCCTAAACTATAGAACTCAGTTTGGGAGACGTAGGATGGGGACAGTTGCTGATTATTCTTTCCACAAAGAAAGTGTGATTTTTACCCTGAATAGTGATATTTCTCCATCTGTTTATACATTTGGACATCTCCTAGATACTTTAATGTTAATGATACAGTAACCTATATGGGATAGGAAAGCAGTTAAGGCAACTGAGACTCAGAGATACATAACAGATACTTAGTTGATGAGTTAGGATACAGCTCTTTTTCTGCTTCTTAGTTCAGGGTCCTTTCAGTCATTTTACAGATTCTCATGATTAGATACAGTCAGAAAGGCTAGAGTAGTTCTTTCAAGAAAATACAATACTAAAAACTCTACTGGGTTCCAGTATTTAAGTGTGGGTATCAAAGGCATGGGTATTTGAGGACAGAAGGCAGTCATTTTGTTTGGCATTAACTGTAGAGAGATCAACACTAGTTATGGTAACAGAATAATTGAGCAGTGATCATCATCTAAGGATATTATTGGAGAAATTTGCTTCCCACTAAAAAAATAAAAATTAAATGTAATGTGTTTTAATCCCCTTTATTGAGAGGTAGTTGGGTGTTGAGGGATGTCTTCAGTATAAAATATAAAAAGCTACTAGATTCTATATATCTCCTATTCTATGAATGAAAGGTAGCAAGATGTATTTTTTAAGCAGGAAGCCCCAAATTCTTCCTACTTTTAAGTATCTAAGTGAGATAGGATCTCCTGACTTTTATCCTGTTCAGATAAGTATGTCCCAAATTTTGAATTCTTTGGGTATATTGGAAGTACTTTTCAATACCTGTAAGTCTAGGTGGATTTATTTAAACTAATGTTAACAAAATTATTTCAGATGACTTTTCTTTTACTGAACATTCCATTAAAGAGGAAATTCTGGCTCGGCACCTGTGGCTCAAGTGGCTAAGGCGCCAGCCACATACACCTAAGGTGGTGGGTTCAAATTCAACCCGGGCCCACCAAACAACAATCATGGCTGCAACCCCAAAATAGCCAGGCATTGTGGCAGGCCCTGTGGTCCCAGCTACTTGGGAG